TTCTCCTCTTCTTTTTTCCTCCCATCTTTGATCTCCGTCGTCCATTTGTACTTCCGCTCCACCGGTCCCTTGATCTCTGTTGTCACCGTGTACTTTCTATCCCCGCTGCCGATCCTTGCGTTAACCAGCTGATCGAGCTTCGACTCGAGCGTACTAACCCGATCGCATAGTCTCTGTATTTCAAACTCCGGTTCCACACGGCGTTGAATCCTCTTGTAAGAGCAAAACGACGGCGTTCTCTGGATCTGGATCAGATCGGTGACGGTGTCGAAGACATCAAAGGAGCTGAACCTAGGCATGGGATCCAGCAGATCAAGAGCGAAGCTGAAGTCTGGTCCCTCAGCGAAGAACGAGGGGAATGCAAGGGTTTTAGGAGCGAGAATGGAGGTTTCCGTTTCTCCGATGAAGAGAGGCGGAGGGTACGGCTCGAAAAATTCGATACTCCTCCTGAAACGGCTCATGGTCGAACGAGTTGGGAATGCGAACTCAGTGAGTCAGCAGCAGCAGGTCAGAGACCGAGTTAGGGTATTATCAAAGTACATCACAGTCGCCATCCATAAAGAAACTAACGAGGAAAGGACAAAAGAATGAGGGAAAAGGTTGTTGAAAGGGGGTAGATTTGTCAATTCGTCTTGCTGAAACAGCGGATCCGGTGGTTTTTGATTGGTTGGATTTGGAGGGAATGGTCATTACCCCTAAGATACTGCAGTTATAGTTTTATAAGATATTATATATTTTACATATATTTATAATATCAAATAAAATTATAAAATTATAATTTTATATATTATTAAATAAATTTAATGTAATATTAAATATGTAAATATAAATAATATTATAAATAAATATTTTAATAAAAAATTAATTATATAATGATATATTATATTGTATATTTATAATATTATTTGATATTATAAATATAATATTTTTAATATTATATAGTTTAATTTTTAAAATTTTTATTTTAAAATTTTTATGTAATAATATATATATTAATTTCGGGTTATGCTTCTAAAATCTTATGTAACTTCTTTTTTTTTAATAAAAAATAATTATGAGTAATATTAGTATTTGTTTATGTTTGGAAAAAAGTGAACAGTTGACGGAAGGACAGTTCACCTGCCCAAGGGCAGCGTGGCCACCGGGCCAGATAGGGGTCTGCAAAATCTTATGTAACTTGTGCTTAACATTCTCGTAACCATGACTCTAAGATTGCTAATGACGACTCCCGTATAAGGATTTTTTTTTTTTTTGTGAGCTGGGGGGAGATTTTTTTTTTATTAAATCGGAGAAAATATGAAGGAAGAGAAAATTTTAAGTTCTTAATAAAATTCAAAATTCTCAACTAATTAAATATAAACGTTACAAACTCTTGACTAACTTTTAACTAGAAAGGGCCGGTTCGGATAAGGAATGATTTAGTTTTGGTTAAATGTTAAATTTGGTCCCTCAACTTTAGTGAGTTACATATTTTTGGTCCTTTAACAATTTTTTACACTTTTTTGATCCCTCAACTATACGAAATGCACTCCGTTAGTCCTTCTGTTAATTTCGATCGTTAACTCGCTTATGTGGCATTTTTTATAATTTTTTTAATAACGTGGCAAAAACAAATTGAAAACATGTTAGACATGGAATTTTTTTATGCCAACTCAATTATTACTATTTATATTTTAAAAAAATAAAATAAAATAATTAGTTCATCTTCTTCCTTTCTCTTTTTCTTTTTTTTCTTTCTCTTCTTTCTTCTTCTTCTTCCTCTTCTTCCTCGAGTTATTGAACCCTCTGCTGGGTTCCATCGAACCCAGAGTTGGGTTCCACCGAACCCAAAACCCAGCTCCACTTTTTCTTTTTCTTTTTTTTTTGTTTATATAATTGTTTGCCAAAAGATTATTCAAATTGCAGGTTGTCGCGAGTGATTTTTAGACAATTGAGTTCAGTGAATTGAGCTGGGTTCGATGGAACCTATTTGCTGGATTACATCGAACCCAGATTTGTTGGGTTCCGTCGAACTTCCGATGGGTAAAGAAACAATTGTTAGTGGTGATGTGGGACCTATTTGGATGGATTTGGTGTGTTTTCGTCAGGTAACATGTGACATGGCAAAAGTTGTATCCATATCATCACTTTTTAAAGTTTTATCCATGTCATCACTTTTCGAAGTTTTGCTCTCCACATCATCAAAAATATATATATAAAATGCCACTTAAGCAGAGTTAACGGCTCAAATTAATAGAAGGACTAACGGAGTGCATTTTGTATAGTTGAGGGATCAAAAAAGTGCAAAAAATTGTTAAGGGACCAAAAATGTTCATTTCTTAAAGTTGAGGGACTAAATTAAGCATTAAACCTTTAGTTTTATTGTGTTTTTTTTATTTTTATTATGAATTTTTTTAATTTGTGTTTTTAAAATATATATTAAAAATAATTTTTATTATAAATATATACAAAATTATAAAAATTATTATTAAGTTTAATATTAATATCAAATAGATAAATTTAATTAAATAATTAATAAATTAAATATTAATTTTTATTTTTTAATTTAAATTTATAAAAAATATATATTTAATATATTCATGAAGATAAACTTTTTACTAATTATAATTATCAGGTTCGGCGCA